CCTGCTTTTCACTCCAGCATTCAAAGTCTGCAGTCTGGACCAGGAGTGGCCACATGTGCTGAAGGAGGTTGTGCACTTACCAAGCTGTGCCTGCCAGCTTCCCGAATCCAGCGGATGTTGTCATGGTATTGCTGCTTCACAGATGTGCTCACTTGCAAGAGAAAGCAAGAAAGAAAACAGGTTTTGAAAATGAATGCAATATGCTCTAAATTTAATTTAATTCATCTGACAGCACTAGGAAGTCAAATTCTACTCTCAGATACAAGCACGCATATAGGAAATGCAATATAGAATCCTCTGTGCAGCTGATGCAGTAACTGGTACCATATATTTAAAGGAAGGTATGAGATGTCACCCAGGAGACAGCTGGAATGACAATTCCCATTCAGATCTTTAGTAAACTAAATTAAACCTTGTAATATGCGTTACATACACTGTTCATTTTTGGTCACCTATCTACTAAATGCCCAATCCCTTTCTGAGATTTTCCTAAATTAGTAGCTTTAGCAAACTCCATGACATTGAGTACTACAGTCCAGTCTTGCATCAGGTAGCAAATAGCTCCTTTGAGTCAGCCAGCAGAAATTTTCAGAAGCAGCTGGCAATACATACTTGAGGATAAATTACACCAATGCTGGGATATAGATTTCTAGCACTGTACTAAATGGCCCACGTGAATGCTTTTATCCCAAGATAAAACTGAGGTCTCTTCTCCTACAAACTGAGGTATGTTGCTTCACATTACTATGGGCTTAAAAGAGACTAGAAAGCATTATGTACTCAGAGGAATAGTCCTTATCAACACAGAGATTGGCTCCCTTTGCTCTTGGGAGATTTGTATTGTTGTTAACCATCATCTCAGTCTTCCAACTGCCAGAGAGGTTGTAAATCTGGGTTACACTCCAATCATCAGTGCTGTATCTCTTCTGCCAAGGCTAACGTAAAGGCTCAGGTACCTTAAGAGTGGAAGCAGATAATAAAACTACACCGGACTTTTTCACAGTTTGTGAGGTTTAAGCACAAAAATGCATCTCCACTAAAGGAGAAGACTTGTTAACATTGGACTCAAAGCCAGGACAAAAGTTTAGACTTGGAATGCAACAGACTTCAGCTCTGTGGAGTTTTCACTCAGCCATCATAACAGATTCTTTTATAAAATTCAAAGGTAGGTTCAGATTTTAGATGTGTATGTGTGTGAGGATATCCAGACCCTGGAATCTGGTCCAAGCCCAGGTCCCATAGGGAGTGGAATACTCAAGAACATGAATCCATGAATGGCTGGGGTTTTTTTGGACAAATTCAGTTTTCATTTCTCTTTGAAATTCTATTCTCATTGTCCTGCCAAATTCAACAGCAAATCCAATAACAGCCTTGCCCTTAAGCCTGTTTTCACCTGTTGGGATTTTTTTAAATATAATTTTTCATTTAAATTAAGAATATACATGCAAGAGTTCAATGCTTTTTGTCCGTGCAAGAGACTTCTTTCCCCAACTTTACATCACCATCTATATAAGCACTCACATACTATTGTACACACAGCAATTGATTCATTTCCTAGCTTGCAATGCAAACCATCCAAAGGTCATGCATCAGTTCAGTCTTGGTATGATGGGAAATTGCAGCACATGGAAGAAAAAAATTACTGCAAATTTTAGAAGATAGATCCAGCACTTTAGTATTGGATTTCACACTCCCTTCAATTAAGCCAAGGGACCAGGTTTAAAGACATGAAAATTTCAATATCCATGGAACATGGGAGGCACTTCTGGATCATTGCATTAAAAACACCTCATGCTCCAGGTGCTCTCTCTTGAAGACAAGTCCTAAGGAAAGTTTAGGAGAACAGACAGAGCTAAGGGCCTTGCAGGGTCAGATCCACTCTATCAATAATTTACATCTTGGGAGGAAGAGGATGCTGGACACCAGCCTTGCATTATAGGAAGACAACAGTAGTTTTGTTTCAAAAGAGAGAGACATCTGAATGTGGTATATCTTTTTTAAAAAGACCACCCTAGGTCCTTGCAGTGCTAACTGTTCCAGAACAAATAGGAAAGCATTCAAAATTTTCACACTTCTATTCATATTTCAATTATGTCTTTCATGAAAGTGACAAATATTTCAATATTACCAGATAAATATATTACGCTCTCTTCCCTATAAAATATGCTTTGGATTTGTGATCCTTCTGATCCCTTCCTTGATTTTGAAAAGCACAAAGCTCTGCTCTCTGGAAACAGAAGAGCTGAGGACTTCAGTCTAGGGGATAACACTTAAGTCTTTCAGTCTGCTGTTCAGTTACTGTAAAAGTAGCCAAAGAAAGGGAAAGTAGTAGGACCTTCCACTGCAACCTGGGAGATTAGGAGTCATGTTTGTCTCAGTTCCTATTCATAAGCAGGGGATAACAGTAATAACCCCCTTTCAAGGATATGGAAGACTGGGAGACAGTACAATTCCTAGATACTAGAGTAGCACAGATCCATGCAGATATTCCATATTGGTTCCACCAGTGAGTAGAAACAGCTGTCAATTTATTAACTAATGACAAAAAAGAAAGACCTCAAAACTGTAATCACAAATAAGTGACACTGGATGGAGCACCACACCCATGAAACCTGGGTTTCCTGACACTGATCTGCTTGCTAGCTTCTTAAAACCTCCTTGGATTCCCATGCCTCATCCACCTGTGAGACATGGGCAAAGCAATTTGACTCCTTTAAAAATCTCTTGGAGACCTGTTGATGAAAGATACTGTTTGCTTTAAAGTTTCAAGGTGACAGAGTGCCGGAAAATCTGTAACAAATAAAAAGAAAGGCTCTTAGCCAAAATTACAATAGCTTTGGGATCAACAACCTCTCTACGTGGTGCTCTTACATTTTGCCTACTGGTTACACTCCTTACAGGAATTTGGAGAGCAGCAAGATATCCTGCCCACATGGAACAGGCAAGAGACTGCTTTCTATGGTTTCAGCCAAAAGCTAACACACATTTTGCAACTCTTAGTTTCCTTTTCTCCCCAAAAGCACCCAGAGCAATGAGGGCATGGGATGGTGTCTTACCTCCCTGACGTATAGAGTCTTCAAGCACAGACATGGCAATTGAGTCAGTGGTAGCAAGATCCTGTGGGTCACCTGAGGTACAAACCCAGCGGAATGGCCCAAATCCCAGGGAAAAAATGTCCCTGGGAAGAGAACATGTTTCATTAGGAGATAGTTGAAATTCTTTCCTTATTTATCCTGGCTGCTAGCAGTGCTTTTCTTTCATTAGCTGGAGACTGAAGAATTTGAAACATTTTCAATGAACTAATCTAAACAGAAGCATCAAGGACCATTAATTGAGAAATTAAACAGTGCTGTTTCATGCAGCCATCAACTGGTGTATAAAAATACAATCAGGCCAGAATTTTGATAGGAATGTTGGGCAGTTCAAACAAGTGCATCATCAGATGAATTGCAAATTTTCTTTTGTTTCATCCAACATACTCCCCCTTATGGTCTTTTCATCCTTAATCCAGGCTAACTCTGAGTGCATCTACACTTTCAGACAAGCACAGGTTCTGAACAAGTGCCTGAGTCCAAACTCATTTGCTGTCCACATTGTTTACACACAATAGAAAGACATGCTTCAGTTGAGTTCCAGAGGAAGAGATCTAATCTGCCTGGTGTCTTACTCTACATTCAAGCTCTTATTCACATGGTATAGGCAAGTTAAGTATGAGTCAGAGGCAAAAGGTGTTATAAACCCAGTCCCCTCAACAGATCTCCTGAGTTCAGCTTTTTCTACAAGCAGTATGCACAGCTTGGGTAAGAGGTACAGTTAGCAACGTGCAGACGAGTGTCCTATTTCAGATGTGCTTTTAACTTCAGTGTAGACATAGGCTTTGATGATTTGGAATTGAAAATCTACTGCTCTGGAGAGACAAGCTCTTCATTTTTAGCACCTAGAAGTGAAGTTGCATATGGTTAGTTTTAGGCTGCGACTTGGCTGTTCTCTTGAGTAGAACTCCTTAAAGAAAACTAATGCAACAAAAGAGAAAATGCAGCTATTCATGTAAAGGAGTGAAGAGTTTGGATTCGGCAGTGTTTTAGCTTACTGTTCACACATCTGGTGCCTGCTTTCATAAGACTTTTTAATTCTAAAAAGGATAAAGCTTTACACCAAATTATCAAGGCATGCCATGCCTTTCAGGACAAAAATATCTACTGTCAGAGTTTACTTATGTTAATCACATACAACGTGTCCCTCCAGGTCTTGCTCTTCTTTTCCCCTGTACACAGGAAAATTAAATAAGTAACGTTTAGGGAATCCAATAGAAAACATAAACATGATGCTTACAGCCAACAGGACATCTTCCTAAACCACATTGGGCATTACTACAGAGTCAAGAAAAATAAGCTTAACTCTGGTAGAACACCTGTGAGATCAATTTTCCTACTGCTACTGTTGACTCCTTTGTATCATTTACTGTACACCACAAGATTTGCACTAAGTGGAATCTTTGTAGTACTCTCCCCTTAAACAGAGGCAGTCACAAGGCACTTGAGTACTTTAGTCCAAACTCTCCCCAACATACCCCATGATGTGCTGAACATAGGAAGGATATCGAAATTCTGTCTTATTAGCTCCTCTTTTCTCAACGTCAGCACCTATAAAAGAATTTTAATAATCAGTGACTTGATGAGGAAAAACTATAAAATGTAAAACCAGACTGCATCTGGGTTCCCATGAAGGCTCTACCTCAGCCACAGAGAAAGTCAGGGGTCTCAGAGAACAAGAGAGAGAGACTAAAGAGTTTGCGTAACACAGTGGCCAAACCTATCCTACCAAAATATACAGCAGGGCAGACATGTACAGGATTGTCTTTGTTTCCACCTAAGAACTCCAAGATCTACTCACCAGCCCTTTGAGCTTCCAAGAGAAAAGCATTGCCATAATCCCAAAAAAACATGCCCTTATCAGCTAGTCTGTTAATAGCAGCCACATGTCTCTTCAAACTGAAATAAAGAAGGAAGCAGTTATTCTTGAGATTGATAAAATATCAAAAAGAATAATATCATGATCTCACTAAAGGCATGGGAGTAAGGGGAAACAGAATTGAAAGACCCCAGAGAAATTCAGACATAAACCTATAAGATACCAACCGAGATATTTTCAGTCTCTGTAGCACCTGTTATCCCCAAATCTTGAAGCATTTTACAGTCATTAAGGGAGCTTCATTAATTAGCAGATAGGGGTCATGTCTTTCAGCAAAGAAATGCAGCCAGCTCTAAGGATGGAAGGTAATAACAAAAAAAAAAAAACCAAAACCAAACCCTACACAAAACTACAAAACACTAAGGAGTTCACAGAGAAAGTGAGCAGAGAGAGAAAAACTGAAAATGGCTGAACATCACTGTTCTGGCCTCTCCCTTTGCCAAACGAGCCCAATTTTCCCTTTGTTTCCAATAGTGGACCATACCTCAGGACTGCTCTCTGTGATGCCATTTCCACTTAATATTATCTACTTCTAATCTCAATGCATAGTTGCACGCGGAGTTATACATGCATAGCTGTCATCTCTTGGAACTCTAGAGAGGCAAATCAGTGCCTAACAAATGAAACTGGATGCTTTTTAGGTCATATCTTGCTTGTTAGAAATTAGTCCCTCCAAGAAATTTACCTTTCTGTTACTTTTGTATTTAGAGTAGTACGATACAGAATTGGGAAACTGGAAAGGTCCTTATGAGAAAGACAAAGATCTGATCACTTGCAGAGCAACTAAACTTAAAGGTTAAAAACGTGTATCACCAAAACATTTACCTCTCTTGTACCAGAGTCCGGAACTTCCCCGGATTGGTGGAGAGGAGCTGCTTTGCTTCCTCAAAACCAAGCTGTACTGGATAGTATCCCCCACTGAATGGGTTATGACACGAAGTTTGGTCAGACCCCAGATCAACTAGCAGCTCTCCTGTTGTGTCCAACTCATATACTAGCCTCTCCCTGGGGAAGAAAACGGAGTGTTTGAACAGAAGCTGTCAACATTGTAGCTCCTCTTTCAGGTGGATTTCTTCCATTCCAAGAGGTTGTTTATAAAGTTATGCCCTTGTGAGGCTAAGTCTTTCTTTTAGCAGTCAGGAGGTAGGAAATGATGGTGATGAAGATTTAGATGCA